GTGCATCTCTCTCATTCATTAAATTTAGTTGTAAATGACGCTGTCGAAGTAACGGTTAATTTTTTAACATTATACAAGAATTGTACACGTTTTTTTCTATATCCCCTTAATTTAAAGATGGGATATACGAAATCATAATATCACCGGTTTAACATCGAAATCCGTGAGTAATATAAAATCGGAGAGCGGAATAAATATATCAAATATTTTAATAGATTTTTTAAACTCCTGTCAACTATACAGAACTATCGTAAAAACATACCAGTAAATTCTTATCGGTTGGGTTAAGTTATAAATCCACTCGTTATTCGCGTAATCGGGCGGCTAACAGCCCGGAACCGGTCCCGGATAGAATTTGAAGCGTTTATATGTGTAGATCGACCCAAGGTCGTAAGCTTCCACCGGCTAAACCGGGTGAGGGTGGTGCTCCGTAAAGCGCGTGCGCAAATCTGACTTTTTGGAATCTGACAATACAGAGATTCCACTCCGCCACTAATATTGGAATATACAATAGCAATTTTTTTTTTCACGTGTAGTATAGAAATTTGTAACAAGATACATAATGCGGTTATAATAAAATATTGTGCGATTATTTTCGTATAATTAAAATTAATATGTATTTATTTTTTATAAAGCTTCCCTTGTATTTTATAAAAAATTGTAATGACGACACGCCACTGAATTATACGAATTTCATTACTTAATGCTCATCACCATATAATGTAAGGATGATTTACAAATTTCTCTGGTAGTTCTTTAATGTTTTAAGAATTGGAATTTCCTGAAATTTTTCCTTCGTTATCATTGACCAGTTAATATCTTTTGGTTTTGGTAAAGATGGTCGACATCTTATAATTTTTGTAGGAGTAATAATGACGTCTACTGGAAGATCGTAGTCGTTAAAGAGCTCTTGAGGTAAATCATCCAATACTTGACAATCATGGACAGTCGTTACAACAGGAGTATTTTCATCGACTATGCCTATTATCCTCATCATAGCATATCCTATATCTGCATATCCTTCGCCTTTGCCAATTCTAAATCCTGAAATATATATTTTAATGTAAAAACCAATCATTTGTAAGCATCTAAAAGCAATCATTTGAATATAATAGACTCTCGTTAATTTGACCCTCAATTATCCAATATAACCTCCATTGTGATTACCTAGGTGCTTCCATTTGCATGAAAATGCTACCCAATTCACATACTGTTTATGTTTATTTGGGTTCCATTTCTGTGTATAGTATCATATTTCAATCTGCTGTATTATTTGCTTGCGGGTCTCCAAAATAGAATCAGCATCAAAGGGCAACATCGTCTTTAAAGAACATTTTAATGTAACAGCCTTGGAAGCATGTAAAATAGAAATCTGTTCCATATTCTTAAATATGGTAGTTATTTTACTTTTTTAAAAAGTTTTAAGTTTTTTAAAATATACATGTACAGTCGACCCCCTATAACACGGTAGATACGTTCCGTTTTTTATGAAATTGATGTTTTAGGAGACCTTGCCAATCACAGCGCGACACGTGTGAAGTTTACGGACTACAGCTGTTTGAAAGGTTTTCTTCCATAAAATTAATCGATTGCTAGACTAATTCGACTCAGCATTTCCAAAATACGTATATTGTTTTGGGAATAATCCGTATAAACTATGCTATAAACAAAAAATTGTAGGATTACTTACCGAGTATGCACTGTTCGACGTCGCCATTGCTTAAGCTTGTTTTCGTCGCGAAGCAGCGCACCAAACGGCGGCCGCGATTTCTGATAAGTTATTTTTCTGCGAAAACTTCGTTGAACTTTGGAGACATCATTAATATAAATAATTTTTATGGCCGTTGAATAAGAAATGTTTCTTTCACAAGAAATGTATAAAATTAGTGCTGTATTAGACTTAAGGTACCTAATTTACATACTGTACAGACGATAGTAAACTCAATTTACCCGCCTAAACTCTCCGTAGCGTGGCGCTGGACGGCGGAAAGTAGTTCGGCTGCCCGATGACGTTTTACCGAATTATAGGAGTTTTTTTACCATGTTTGTACGGATACCGTCATATAGGAATCTGAACTATAGGAACCCGTGTTATAGGGGGTCGACTGTATATACAAGGTTACACAAAAACCACAAACACACTTTGTGTTGTAACTATCACTTATTTCCGTAAAGTTTATTTGACAAATTTTTAAATATTGTGTTAGAGTGAATTCACGTAATGGAGGGGGATTAATGTATGTCAAACTAATTTTGTACAAGCGTCATAGCTTTGACCATTTACCATGCCCATGGGTTTCAATTCAATATCACTCTACATCACTCTTTTATGGAAAACTAGTAGCCTGGTGCGTTATTTACAAATTTCCATGAGGAACGGTTCCTTTGACTTTTTTGTTCCTATCAATATGCTGTACAGCTCTGTTTAAGTCCCAATGGTAAGATTTACCCTCCGAATGAAGAGGTGGTGACTCCCCCAAACAGTAGCCCCTGTGCGAACAATAAAGTCAAAGGAACCATACCCTTACTCGCGACCCTTCGCGAGATATAAGCCCCTGAAATAATATATTCCTATTACAAATATACTGAATTTATATTGTTATATTGACCAAATAATAATTTATTGGCCAAATGAATAATAATAATTCATATTGTTAATTTAAATAAGAATTAAAATTGTTAATTTGAATGTTTGAAATATGACACACGATAGGGGCGCCTCTAGTGTCCGTTATCAAACGGTTACGGGACAGACGGACACCCGTTGAATGGGTTATATATATAGATAGAGACTCCCTTCTATGGCTCTCAGATCCAACATATTGGATTTTTCATGAGACAATCATGAGATGCCCATGCATCATGAAATATTTACCACTTGTTTCAGTTACCAGCTGCGATTTTGAACCGAAAAGTTTTTGATTTATTATCATACATATAAGATCATCACAATTACAGTACTTCATTAAATTACTGAAATTTAAAATACAGTACAATGAAGGAAACAGTCCTCAGTTTTGCCTGTTTTTAATATTTCATTGTAGAATCAATTTTTGAAAATAGTAAATTTAATAACACCAATTCATAGATTAATAAAGTAAAAAATTTTAAACATAACCAAAGTTCAATCAGTTTTACACCCCATTTTAACTGATTCTGAAATGACTCCCTGGTAGGATTGTAAACGTTATGGTCAGCCTACTTTAGGCCCATTCACACCTTTTAATCAGGAATCACCCTCTGTGCAAGGAATGGCTGGATTAGCAAGAGTATTCTGTGCTTTAGAATAATCAAAAATGATATTCTATTTTAAAAGATGGAAAGACATTCTGGGGAAAATAGGTCAATACTTACCCAGAAATAAAAGATATATTTTTTAAAATTAAGTTAATGATAAAATTGCTTTTCATTATAAAATTCTTTTTTGGACATTTGAGTTGCTTTACTTCATTAGTCTTGGCTGGTTATGATTTTGAAATTATATTTCTACAGTAAATATTTCTATTAAAAAATGAGTTTCATGAAATTCTAAAATTCTTTATGAATGAATATTTTCAGAGTAATGATGAACGTTCATCATTACTCTGAAAATATTCATTCATAAAGAAGGGTCAACACCAAAACAAATGGCATAAGGTTTTCATGTCCATATTTTCTTGTTACTCAGATAATGAACAACAAATCAAGTAAGTACAGCTAGTTGATATTTTTATTGTGAAATAAACTGTTTATGTAATTTTTACTGCTTTTTTAAATTAAAAAATATTTTCAAAACCAATACTCTTTATTTTGAACAAATTTTAAAAATTTAATCATAAATCTATGGCTTGGGAGAATAAGGCCAATATCATGAACCTTATGCCATTTGTTTTTGGTGTTNAGATTCCCTTCTATGGCTCTCAGATCCAACATATTGGATTTTTCATGAGACAATCATGAGATGCCCATGCATCATGAAATATTTACCACTTGTTTCAGTTACCAGCTGCGATTTTGAACCGAAAAGTTTTTGATTTATTATCATACATATAAGATCATCACAATTACAGTACTTCATTAAATTACTGAAATTTAAAATACAGTACAATGAAGGAAACAGTCCTCAGTTTTGCCTGTTTTTAATATTTCATTGTAGAATCAATTTTTGAAAATAGTAAATTTAATAACACCAATTCATAGATTAATAAAGTAAAAAATTTTAAACATAACCAAAGTTCAATCAGTTTTACACCCCATTTTAACTGATTCTGAAATGACTCCCTGGTAGGATTGTAAACGTTATGGTCAGCCTACTATAGGCCCATTCACACCTTTTAATCAGGAATCACCCTCTGTGCAAGGAATGGCTGGATTAGCAAGAGTATTCTGTGCTTTAGAATAATCAAAAATGATATTCTATTTTAAAAGATGGAAAGACATTCTGGGGAAAATAGGTCAATACTTACCCAGAAATAAAAGATATATTTTTTAAAATTAAGTTAATGATAAAATTGCTTTTCATTATAAAATTCTTTTTTGGACATTTGAGTTGCTTTACTTCATTAGTCTTGGCTGGTTATGATTTTGAAATTATATTTCTACAGTAAATATTTCTATTAAAAAATGAGTTTCATGAAATTCTAAAATTCTTTATGAATGAATATTTTCAGAGTAATGATGAACGTTCATCATTACTCTGAAAATATTCATTCATAAAGAAGGGTCAACACCAAAACAAATGGCATAAGGTTCTCATGTCCATATTTTCTTGTTACTCAGATAATGAACAACAAATCAAGTAAGTACAGCTAGTTGATATTTTTATTGTGAAATAAACTGTTTATGTAATTTTTACTGCTTTTTTAAATTAAAAAATATTTTCAAAACCAATACTCTTTATTTTGAACAAATTTTAAAAATTTAATCATAAATCTATGGCTTGGGAGAATAAGGCCAATATCATGAACCTTATGCCATTTGTTTTTGGTGTTGACCCTTCCATTTATCTTCTTAGCTAAACACATCACAATAACTTTCATTTAAAATTATAGAAGATATTATTGGAAACATGATTGAAAAAATTTTATATATCTATTTTATGATGATAAATTTTAGACCAGACCACACGACAATTTCCATAAATTATTTTAAAAATTCCTCAACCTACACGAAAAATGCTAATATTTAATATATATTGAATGATTAGTATTCTGAAATTTTATAATTTTCACAACTTTCTCATATTATCCTTAGCAAATGTAAATTTTAATATTATTTTTGTCATCCATAAATTTTTTAAAAAGCTCTAAGTTTGACATTCATACAAATTTGAAATATTCTGAAGTCAAAATTCATAATCATCTTTGCAGAATTTCATATTGAATCAGTTTTATTCTTTTTACATTGAAAAATAGTTTTTCAGAAATAAAAATTTTCAATTGCATTATTTCTAGAAAATGACGACAATGATGAAAGATTGGAGTTAACAATGATTTTTTTAAAAGCAAAGTATATTTTATAAAATTTAAGAAGCTACTTTAGCAAATTATTCAAGGAATGAAATTTTAATCATCTATATCTATATCAATAATTATGATAAAATTCATTATATGACTTCATATAAACTTGTTAAAACAATTAATATTTTTTAAATTTAAAATTAATTAACTTGAATAATTTTTGTAAATAAAATTTAAATCTTTAAGCTATAACTGGCATCCAATTGTTAATAATAAAATTGATTTTCAAGATTTTAGGTGCATTTCCTAGTAAAGCCACTTTGTTAAAAGACAAACTGTTTCTGCTTTAAGTTAGCTGCTGTAGTGCTAGTGCAGTAAGGTTCACAAGCACTGAAAACAGAAGTTAAGATAGCTGCCACCAAATTATATGCATATTACATATGTACAGTACCTCAAATAAAGATTGTGACATACAAAATTCTATTTTAAACTGGCTGTTGAAAAAATAAAAAATGCATTTTCCACATATTCCACTATTTCGACATAAATGTCTTCTAATAGCACAAAACCTTTCTCACTAATTTCTAGCCTTATTAACTGGAGTAC